CTAGGAGTTGTACGTTTGTGCTAATATAGCGGTAAAAAGAGATGTTTAGTGATTATTTCAGAGAGGAATCGTGAGGAAGAACAGCTCACCATGTTGGAGTCTGCGGGGGAAAGGACCTCACGGCTTCCGGTATCCGATGATAAAAGCGGCTACGGCAGACTGGGAGGGACAAAAGCGGTGGAAGAAGTACTCAGATCTTGTACTAAAGTAAAAGTAGAAGTACCAGAGTGTAGGGATACTCTGTTACAAGTCAAAGTACCAAGAGTAAAAGTAGTCATTCTGCAGATTGGCCCATTTCAGAATAATATGATATGTTTTGATTATAATTATTGATGCATTAAAGTCGGAGGTGTAAAGTACTGTACTTAAGTATTTTGACTTTACTTGAGTTACTCCACCACATTTATTGAAGTTTAGTTACTTTACAGATTTGGATTAATAATGTGAAATATAATAACGTCTTAAATCAGACTTTAGTTCCACCTGGAGTAAATTCACAAGCTACCCTGCAGTATACAAAGTCATTCAAACTAGCTGCACTTTTACCAGCTTTGAGAACACTTTAATGATCAATCATTATAAAACATATCATATCTATTATTCTGAAATGGACCAATCTGCACAATGACTACTTTTACTGTCGCTACTTTAAGTATATTTTGATGCTGATACTTTTTTACTTTTACTTGAGTAACATTTTGAATGCAGGACTTTTAATGTAACAGAGTATTCCTACACTCTGGTACTTCTACTTTACTCAAGAAGGTCTGAGTACTTCTCCCACCTCTGATTAAAGTGTTATCAAAGCTGGTAAAGGTGCAGCTAGTTTTAATGACTTTGTGCAGGGTAGCTTGTGAATTTACTCCAGGTGGAACAGAATATCTGCTTTTTCATGTGAGTGCATAACATAGTATACTGAAAGAAAAAGCAAGTACTAAAAAAGTTAGAATCTATAAAAATATATAACAGACACTTTTACACTTACCTTAAAATATGTAAAATATATCTCGTGTTCTTCTGTATAGAATTAGAAACATGTAATGTGCAAACTATTAACTATGTGATACAGTTTACAGAATAAAATAAGATGTGCAATCCAGTTTCATTTATGAATGACGCATTAATGAAAACAGCATGCATGGATTAAAGGTCCCATGTCATGCTTTTCTGGTTATTACCTGTCCCCTTGTGTGTTATGTAGGTTTTGATGCATGTAAACGGTCTGCAGTCACAAACCCTCAAAGTACACCCTGTAGCGAGTAAAACTCTAACACAGAAAAGACCTGTCTATGCTGCCCCAGAACGCCTCGTTGGAGATTTCTCTTTTTCCATTGTTTACTTCTTGGGTATAGTGACGTAACGTAACGTAACGGCTCCGCAGATTGGTCCAAATCAAATCAAATGGACCAATCCGCGGAGCCGTTACGTTACGTCCACGGAGCCGTTACGTTTGGACCAATCCGCGGACTTGCTGCGAGGAGCGGGACACTGTGAGCTGGCTCACTGGTGTGGGGTCGGCGAGACAGCGAGACACCGCGGAACTCAGCCTGGGCACACACACAAACTCCCAGCCAGGCTGCGTGTGTGTGTTTCGGGCTGGGTTTCTCTGTGTCTCGCTGTCTCGCAGACGGCCACTGAGCTCACAGGGAGGGGGGGGGGGGGCAGGAGCTGTATGAGAAACCAATGTGAGTTTGGAAAATTGTACAATATAAATGTATTTTAGTATACCTCAACAATGGAATTATGATCAGTAGAAATGGCCATGACATGGGACCTTTAAAATGGATCTCACACACACACACACACACACACACACACACACACACACACACACACATCCTCCTTTTTAAAAGTGCTTTTCCCACGTTGTGCACAAACAGATCACGATTTAGTCATTCTTAATTATTGACACCTATCCCATTCACAGCTTAATCACTCTTTGAGCACGAGTGATTAAGCTAAATATTGAAATGATCACATACTCCCTGCATTTAGCCCTCTGACAGTGCCTCCCCTCTCTCTTTCTTCCTGTGTTTTGGGCTGCTGTCCTGCAGGAAATACCAGTGTGACAGGCAGAGCCCAGTCCTGTTTACACTCATTGAGATACATCTCCTCCGGGTCTTTTCTTCCTCTGCCAAATCATTCCTACTGATGCACACATGCCATCTTTCTATCTCTGAACGCTGCTTCCCTCCAGGAACAAATACCAAAACCCCCAGGACAAACCTATTTATAATGTTCCTGCAGTGTACATTCACACATGTATCTCTGGTGACCCATTTAATTTCCTTTTATTGAAAGCTAACTCTTTAGCATGTGCACACGTTTGATTTCAGGGCAGTTTAACAAGTGGAGAATCACCCACTGACCTACATTTAATTCAGCACATTTTTACATTTTTACAAAGACCAGCAGTGTAGCAGCATATCAAAAGCCGTGCACCTTTATTTCCTGACCCCTTTCCTAACAAATACTGCCGGTGACCGCTTCTTTTCAGGAAGTTATTTTGGATCAAAGACACATTTCTGGGCTCATGTTACTAAAAGTTGAAGGAATAACGGAGGCGACGTTTGTTTAAACCGACTGTCTTAAGTCTTGCAATGTTGTTTGAGAAATAGAGCGTAAAAAAGTCCAGCTGATCGCATTAATGAAAACAGCATGCATGGATTAAAATGGATCTCATGTTAGACACACACACACACACGCACGCACGCACGCACGCACGCACGCACACACACACACACACACACACACACACACACACACACACACACACATACACGCACACTTCAGCAAGTTCCTCCCTTTAATTAAAACTTTTCCCAATTTGTGCACAAAACAGATCATGGTTTATTAGTCGTTCTTAGTTATTAGCATCCATTGTTTTATTTACTTTTGTGTACAGCTGTTGCTAAAGCCTCACTCGTTATATTAATAACAGCATATTCCTAATGTATCACTGCTCTTTTTAGTCTTTCTTCTCCTTTCTTCTCTCCATTTAGGCCTCACTATTTCCCCGCAGTGAATATTACATTACATGACATAATACATGTTAGACGCTTTTATCCAAAGCGACTTACATACTCAATACTGTGGGCAATCCCCACAGGAGCAATTTGGGGTGAAGTGTCTTGCCCAGGGACACAACGACATGCTGACTGCAGTGGGGTTTGAACCTGTGACCCCCCTGAGCCGAACACCTACGCACAACCCACTGCGCCACACGCCTCCAATATATATGACTAAGTAGAGTTACTCGTGTACTGTTCTAAAGTAGAAATCTGAGGATTTTAAAAAACCTTTTTAATGTTATATTCCACTACATTTCAGAGGAACATATTGTACTTTCTTAATTGCACTATATGTGTTTGACAGTTATCAGATTACAGTGCAAACCATGTATCTCCAGATGTGTTTAATTTGAGACAAATACATGACGATTTTACAGAATGAGATGCATTGCTGTAGATAAAACTACCCAACAATGAATAAATTAGTTCAAATTAGCACATCATTAAATGTGAAATGCACAGTTTCTGCATTTCTGTTAACATATCTCCATGAAGTACTATAACCACTAGATGGCAGCACTGCATTAAAGTCTGACACTTCACGTTATCAGTTTGATTTCAAAACCTTTATTGGACAGAAAAATGGAGATAAATATGTCAAAATAATTGTATGCAAAGTAAAAAGCGGATACAAGCGGCCGAGATGGGTTTTCTCCGCAGGGTGGCTGGCGTCTCCCTCAGGGATAAGGTGAGAAGTTCAGTCATCCGGGAGGGACTCGGAGTTGAACCGCTCCTCCTTCGCGTCGAAAGGAGCCAGTTGAGGTGGTTCGGGCACCTAGTAAGGATGCCACCTGGGCGCCTTCCTAGGGAGGTGTTCCAGGCACGTCCAGCTGGGAGGAGACCGAGGGGCAGACCTAGGACCAGGTGGATGGATTATATCTCTTCGCTGGCCTGGGAGCGCCTTGGGATCCCCCAGTCAGAGCTGGTTGATGTGGCCAGGGAAAGGAACGTTTGGGGCTCTCTGCTGGAACTGATACCTCCGCGACCCGACCACGGATAAGCGGGAGAAGATGGATGGATGGATGGATGGATGGCAAAGTAAAAAAAAACACATTCACTCAGCTGGGATCAAGGCCTGACCACAAGACAACACACACACACATACCTTTTTAATGTTATATTTCACTACATTTTACTACATTATGCACTCATTTAGTTAGTTTTTTTCACGTGGAAAATGTAGCCTAAAAGATGTAAATAGCTTACTTTTTGTTTTCTGGGTGTTTTAAAGTGTCTAAACGCCAGGTTGTTTATTGTGTATTTACCACTACCTGCCACCAGATGGAAGCCTTGTACCATAATGTATAGTTATAGTAATACTGTATTTAACCCTCCTGTTGTCTTCGGGTCAACTCTAGATATCTCCCCCCCCCCCCCTTATGTGCCCAATCCCCCCATGTGAATCACACCTGGCACACTCAAACACACACAGACCAATTTGACACATTTCCCGCTCTTATGTGCCCATCCCCCCACATGGATCACACCTGGCACACGCAATACATGTTCAGTGTCTATTCTTTGTATATTTACTGCAGTTTTTCATGTATACCAGTAGTCTGATACAATATGTACAGTTTGAAAGGGTGTTAAATGACATTTGGTGATGATTAATGGTTTTTGTGTTAATGTAATAGCAGTTAAAACAGGACCGCGAACACCAAAGTAAGGGGGGGGGGGGGGGGGGGGGGAACGAAGACAATAGGAGGGTTAAACAATTAATTACATGTATGAAGCTATTATTCAGAAAACGTTAGACCTTATCTGGTTAATATATTGTTTTAGAGTCTATGAAAGGCACATTTATCTGTTGATATGATTAAACCTATCCAACATGTTCAAGGAAAATTGGAAAAAATGTATATTCATTTGACTTCATATCCTGTATGTTGTGTCCGTCTGTTATTAAAAGAAACACTTTCACTCCAGTTACATTTTCACTTTCTTTATTTCCCCCCCCAAAACTCATAGCCGTAACAAAAATACAAGCTTTTTTTTTCGTTATATGATATCAATCATTTACATATTCATATAGATGTACAAGTGAGAGCCGTTGAGCAAAAGTGCTTTAAAAATCATCTTTGAATAATATTCATTTCATCATTAGAAAAACATAAAAGAAAGGAGACAGACTGCATGTAAAAACAAGTTACATGTTTTAACGTGAATATGATGATTAAATCAGAGTCTGCTTCAGTTTCACAAGCAGACCTCAGTGGCTGAACATTTTCATTACGTGTGGAGAGGGAACCTTGTAACAGCGACCTTTTAAGAGATATATCACGGCTCATGTCGAGGCTTTTCACGGGCCTTGATGTGCCGGAACATTTTTCATGACCCTGAGGCTCGGAGGCTACAAATCACTGCTGTCACATGGAAACTGTAAATCCACTTCATGTGTTGTAGAGACCACGAGACGCAGATACAAAGAGCAGGAAGAATCCCAACATCCTAAAACAAGTGAATTAGGAAGGGTTTGTAATTCCTTGAAAACAGTGAAATATAGTCTTAACATCTCCGTTTTGTGAGGTTTAAACAGAAATATACTCTATCTAACGTGTTAGTTTGCGAATTAAGGACATTTTGCTGTGCGATTTTGTTGCCCTTAATGGCTGTAACTTATTGAATGTGGCATCTTCTCTGGAATAAGCAAACTCTGATGTTTCTAAAACATCATTTTAATCAAAAAGTCCATTATCAAACTGGTTGGTTATTAGTTGTCTGTTGATTGAAGTGTCCTAGATGGCAAATATATTAGCACTTGACTTTAATTATGGAAAAAAGACAGGAAGTCAGACTTAAAACTTGTAGTTTACTTCGCAAAATGATCTGTATTGGGTTTAAGATTTGTAGTTTTACCAAAACCATGCAATCCGAACAACTTTAAGATGGTTTTGTTTGATTTTAATCAAGTTTTCTGTCATCATTTAGTTGCCAAAATACACTTATATGGTATTCCAGGCTCGGTTGAAACCAAAAATGAGGAATATTTTGCGTGGAGTTAAGTTTTTGTCATTAGAAACCAAATAGCTATGAGGTATATTTGGGTTCAAAAGGTCACCGCCGGCACCGGGGTTAAACTGCAATATCGGGCGTCAAGGAGAAGAGGAAATGAAATGAAAACCCTCAGAAGATTCAAACATCTCGACTAGGCAACTTCTCATGGGAGGCAAAGCAACAAAAAAAACAACACATTCACTCAGCTGGGATCAAGGCTGGACCACAACACAACACACACACACACACACACACACACACACACACACACACACACACACACACACACACAGCTTTAAAACAAAGTCGTGCAGATGGAAACAAACACAAGACTGTCTCAATGTGAAGAATGTTATTTTGACCCACTTAGGCGATGAGATGGAGGATAAGTGAATCAGCGCGCCTGTCTTTTGGATTTTGAGGCGATGAGAAGCGTCTTAATTCCTTTCAATAAAAGCGGGGAAATCCCTTTCTTTTTTTTTTTAAAGAAAGGATTCTGTCAAATTACTCCTTCATCGGGTTTTCATTATTCACTGCTTCTCGCGTTTCATTAAAGAAAGGAAAAGGAAGTTCATTGAGTGTAACCGAGACCTATAATCGACGTCAAAATTGATGTTTGGAAGCATGTGTGCAGGGACTTGTTGAGTGTGTGTAAACTGACCTGTCTAAATCTAAATAAATTAATGAGTCTCGGCGGGGTTTTTCCGCAGTTTTCCCGCAGACGTAATACCTGCTGCTCATAGTTTCCCCTTACACACAATTGCATTTTCAGACACTCTGACATCACTATCTCTTCTCACACACACACCAACCAACAACCCCAATAACCTGTAAAGTGTGTGTGTGTGTGTGTGTGTGTAACTGAACAAGTGCCTGTTTCATGGCTGCTACTCCCGTTTCCCTGCTGTAATACCATCCCATGTGTGCTGGGTTTATTTCGATGCCTTTATACGTAGTTTCAGTGTGTTGCGTGCATATGAACAGGTGTGTTATTTCATGTGTGTGTGGTCCAAGAGGAGACCCACAATGCCCCGGGATGACAGACGCACCAGGTTGAGAGTGAAAGGCCTTTGTTCCCGCTTCACAGTTCGAGCCCTGTCTCTTCTTACCACTATGGGTCAGAGCCCCCGTGCTAACGTGGATCAATCTACAGCATGAAACAGCACAGTACAGCTGCTATAGGTGGGAAGAGGTGGAGGTGTCAGTTTAACCCTTGGGTATTTCCCAACCACAAGTGTGCAAAAAAACACCTGGTAATTGGAGAGTTAACTATGGCAGCATCATGTTGGTCAAACAAGGGAAATGCAAATTAGAAATATAACATTTGGTTGCAGCGAACTAGCTTTGTTTTGATATTTAGTATTGAAGGATTCAGCTTCACTTATTCAACCCTTGTGTTGTCTTCCTATCAACTTTTGTCCTCAGGGTTTCACTGTTTTTAAAGCATCTAGTATAAATAATTACCCAAATCTGTGTAACACCTTTTGAGCCAACTTTATTCCGATTTAAGAGTTACTCTTCTTTTCTAAATGTACGGTCAATAGACTTCATTTACACGAATTCAAACCTAATTTCTGAGTTTAAAAAAGGCAACAATTTTGACTAATTCTACAAAAATTGACCCCAGATGCTATACATTTTAATACCCTTTATCTCAACATAAAATAACTGCGAAACGGGTCTAATTTGACCCAAGGACAAGCAGTCTTGTCATTGAGCTTGATTTGATATGTGAGCTCAGTAGCTCTTATGATTTAGTGTTAGCTTCCACGTTAGCTTAAATGTTTACTTGTATGATATAGAAAAAGAGCCACAGAAAAAGCTGGAGTTTGAATTGGCATTGTTTGGTAAAACTACTATTTTAAAGTGATATTATTTAGTATATTTCACAAAAGTAAGAGTTTTGCCGCATGCTTTCCATACAGATCTACTGTAAAGCTAATGCTAACGTTTCCCCAAGTAAGTCACATGTTAGTATAGAGAGTGATAGCTAGCTAGCAAGTGTCAAATCAAAAACAATAGTCTTTTATTTTGATATTTCTCAGTTTATAATTGTTCAACAAGGATGGGGTCCTTAGATATGGTGGACAGTAGGCACAATGCTAGCTTGTTGATATGTTATTTAGCTCACTTTGGTCCAACCTGAACCATCCTAAAGTCTGCACTGCTGAAACCAAACCACAGTGTGTGTTTAACTTCAAATCTGTCCTGCAAAGTGTGCAAACAGCAGTCTGCAGGCCTGACGATGACCCGACAGAAAACACTTCCTTATCAGGGACACTGATATGATGTAAAGGTTTGTTGGGGCTAAACAAACTGTTTTGACACAAACATGAAAGTGGTGAAACAGGAAAAACAGAAGGCAAAGGGCACTTGAATTTGTCTATTATTGCCTTTCGGTTGACAAGACCTTGTTATTTAATGTAAGAGGAAGTGCTATTAAGGGTCACAGACACCAAACGGGTCAATGTTCTTACACTGCAGGCCAGAAAACAAATCATACATCAGCATCTCACATGACCAAAAAGGCCTCGATCGTTTTAAACGAGGCTGCTTCCAGAGAGAGAGAGAGAAACAATTTACTCCATTCAGGTCCCATGCTTCGAAAGATTCCACATCCCTTGATCTAATTCATTATGTTCAGACTGATTATAGACGCGGTACAGAAGCACTCCTTGTCAAGAAGTCCGGATGGATATCAGCCACTGTCTTAAATAACATGTTCTGTGAATAAGATGGTTGAACTTAATTCAAACAAAAAAAAAGGAAAGAAAGAACATTGAGATAACCAGTTCTCAGACAATCACTGTCTTTGTGATCTTTGTGAGGGCGAGACGGGACTCTCTTTCCCGTGAGTCTAATATTGTCCTTCAAGAAAACAGGAACCGTAGTGTTTGTCATCCTTCACCAATCTCCCATAATGTCATGTTTTTTTTTTTTTTAGAGAATACAGCACTGTTAAAGTCCAACAGGTGCGTCTTCTTTACGTTGTGTTTCCAGAGAGCGCCAAACGTCTCCAACCAGCCGTCAATCACCTTGTTTTTCATTAAGCCATTACGACAGACATAGTCCTTGTTTCTGCTCGTGCAATGAGGCAACAATCAGAGTGCAATGAAGGCAACAAAAGACTTCTTAATCCCATCAGGTTGGTTTTTCTACCATCAGTTTGATCCAAGAGAGAAAAACAATGCACTGATAGAATTGAACAAAAAAACGTTTTCTCTCTTCTTGCTTTAAATAACAATATCCGTCTGCATAAGGAGTATAAACACAAAATAGGAAATGGATCTCTTTCTCTTTGTAACTCAGCGTCTCTTCAGTTGTATGGACCCACAAAAAGGAAAGGGAACAACAAAACAGAGCAAGGTCTTCTCTCTCTTTGTCTCTTTGCATCTCGAAAGTCTTTTTTCTCCTCGTTTGGTCAGCATCCGGCCGGTACGTCTGACATGAAATCAAACTCGTTCTGACCGAGCCAGAGTTCAGGCAGCTCGTTGGCTCGATCCAAACCGAGCTCAACGACCAGTGACATGAGAACCTCCTCGTCCACGGGGTCAAAATCGATTATTGCACCTGTGCTGGTGCTTTGGTTCCCCATGTTCATACCAACGCCCATCCCACCTCCACCCAGACCTCCAGAGGGGCCCAGAATCTGGTTTCCCGTGCCCAGAGGCGAGGCACCGAATCCCCTTTGAGCTCCTCCAGGTGCTTGGTGTCCCGCAGAAGCACCGGCGAGGTTCTGGTAGTGAGAGTTGAGTTTCTGAAGCTGCATGCTAGCGATGAGGTGAGGTCCCGTCTGGAGGCAGAAAGGCTGAGGTTTGGAGATGGGAGTGGAGGATAGCGTTGGCGATGATGCGGTCCCGGAAGATGGAGAGAACGGTGCCACGGAGGACTTGGAGTTCGGGTAGTGGAGCAGGGTGCTGAGAGGAGAGGAGGAAGAGGAGAGGTCCTTCATCGCAGCGTGGGCAGGGAACAGCAGTGAGGTCATCACCAGGAAAACACCAGAGCCTACAGGAAGAGAAAAGCGATGTAATTAAATGTAAACTGGGTGAACGAGATATCTAAGAATCCGTTGATCTGATGTCAAGTAAGTCCAGGAAATGAAAATGTTTTTATAACTTCTGTGTATACCCTCTTTATTGTAGCGTGGACTCATATGTATTTGGTTATATCATACCTACAGATAACATCCACTTCGAAAAAAAAACACATCGCAGTTTAAACCAGAATATACTGAATTGATGCACGCAATAATTCCAAGGGAAAAGTTTGAAATATTTGGAAATATATCCATACCAATCTCATATCTGTGTACTAAGTATGAAGCTAGTATCAGCATGTGATTAGCCTAGCTTAGCATAACGATTGGTAGCTGCTGGTTTATAGAACGCTATAATTATCACACAGGCGTGAATCAATCTTTTCTTTTCACTGGCCCCTGTGAGCACATGTTCATATTCTGCAATCTGTCGTTATGGAAATAAATGAGTTGTGTGTACGCTTCACATTAACGTGAGGCGGAGTCACTGGACTGTAATATTTGCTTCATATTTCTGTCGTTTGGTGGCAGGGACTTTCCTCCTCATCTGCCTTTGGTTTCTGGGTTACATCGAATTGTCAATATTTAAATAATTCAATCATTTATTTAAGCATTTGACAGCCAAATAAATAAAGCTGATTGTCTGGGGGCTTTGTTATTGTACTTTCTACATTGTTTGTTTCCACAGTAATGTTTTAAATAGCTGTGTGGTAATTCTGCTTTTACTTATGATCTGAATACTTCCTCCGCTCCTGAAAACGTTTGCTCACTAAACAACGGATGACAAAAAACGTAAGTGGTCATTAAAAAGCGTTTTCCTGACAAACATGTGGCTGCTTCAAACCGCACCAACAATGAAGGCGTTGTTGACTTAAGAGCGGCTTTACTCGTGTCCTTATGACTCTTTAAATCACTGAAAGTTGTGACTGTCTGGAAAACATGCCGGCCAGCCGCATGACTCGACGTGTTCGAGACGGATTTTGTGTGTGTGTGTGTGTGTGTGTGTGTGTGTGTGTGTGTGTGTGTGTGTGTGTGTGTGTGTTCGCTTGATGTCTGCTTTTACTCTTGACCTATTGAGCAGCAAATTAAGCATGAAAAGGCTGCGGGGAGAAGGCCTGTGGGTACTAACGGGGTTAGTGAGTGTTTATGAGGTCTGTGTGCGTGTGTGTGGAGTTCATAGCACAACAGAGTCTTTGAGGACCTCAAAGAGTGATTGGGTCACATGGCAGGATAAATACACAGAGCATTGCATATGTCTGACTCTGTGTGTGTGTGTGTGTGGAGGAAAGAGTGTGTTGTGGAAAGCTTGACACACTGAGAAAAATGTCATTGAGATGTGCGTGGAGGTAAAAAAAATAAAAGTGTGTTTCCCAGTGTGCGTGTGAGACTCCTGGAGGCTCATGTTGAAGTCCCCGAGCTGGTTTATATTACATACAGTTCAAAAAAGCATGTGTGCCTCGAAACACACACACAGAAACACACATCATGCGGCTATCCTTTGAGTAAGTTAATCACTTAATATGCTCTCTTTCACACACACACACACACACACACACAGCCCCTCCTCCCAGCGCTGGCTCTTATTTAGCGAGAACATAATTGCTACAGGCAGGCATGCAGCTGCACTCCACTGATAGAGTTAATACACACACAAAGATACCAAACAGCTGTCAGTGGCAGGTCTGTGTGTGTGTGTGTGTGTGTGTGTGTGTGTGTGTGTGTGTGTGTGTGTGTGTGTGTGTGTGTGTGTGTGTGTGTGTGTGTGTGTGTGTGTGTGTTCATTATTCATTATTCATTGACTGATTACTGTCAGGGCCAGGCTGCACATGGTGCCTCTGCTCGACAGCTTTCCAGCACATTGAGTCCAGGAGACACAAACAAATTAAAAAACCGCACACATTCTCCTCCGAGGGCACAGAGGAAACGCGGCTCTTTAAGGATTGTGATATTCCTCAAACATAACATTTTAAAAAGGTGCATTAGGGAACATTTTGTGACGGTGGAGGAGATCATCTCAGCGTGCATCCAATTTGCAACACATGCTTTTAGGTATTTGGTTGAGAAATGTTGAATATTTGGAGAAAGCCTGAGTCCTGTTAACATCATTAGGTTTGAATGATCAAAGACGTCAGAGTTTACCGTCACATTTTTGGATATATGAGGCATTTATTTACGTAAAAAACACCACTTACTAAACTTAGAAACCTTGCTAAACGACCCGTAGGTCATTTTTTTTTAAAGAATATCTTAATGGTCGTATCAAATTGTCGACACAAGCTAGTCAATTTATTCCATTCCCTGACAAAATAAAAGTGTCAATTTCAGCCTTTTAACTGAGTCAACGTGACATTTATAAGCACTCAGGAGACATTCAAATGACCGGAGGGAGTCAATAACGGAGAGTTGTTTTCATCATGCTTGTTTTTGGCTGAAGATTTGCTCATAATAACAGAAGGCTAAACATGAGGAAGGATGCTGTGTGAAACGTTTGGAGGAGAGCCAATGTTTTTTCCTGTTCACAGCTGACCAGACACATTGTGTTCTTCCAACGCTGTTTTATGAGTTTGTGAACATGGGTTAGTGGCTTCAGTTTCCCTGTAAATGATTTCATTAGCAGTCTCGGCCGTGGAGCGCTCTGCTTTTCATTTTAATTATCAGTAGAGAGAGTCTGAAAGTGAACAACACGGCAGTCTCCTCGTACCTTATTATAGAAACATTACAGTGAATGAATGGGAAGCTTTGGGATAAGTGCATCACTTCAAAATCACTTTTTAGAAGCAAAACAGATGTACTCCCTACAGAAATACAATAACGCCATTAGTCATGCATTTCATTAGTCAGATAATTCATATTTGAAGCCATTTATGAAGCAAAAAGCCTAATATTCTCTGATTTCAGCTTCTTAAATGTAAGGATTTGACACTTTACGTTACATTTGTTTTACAAAAGTGGAATTAAGACGCTAAACTCCTAGGATAACGTTTATTCTTAATCGAGGTCCATTTAGTAGTTGTTCTGGAGGTTTCTATCAGATCACATGGTCTTCATCACTTGCAAACATCAACTAAAAGTCCTTAAAATGTTAACATTGACATCTAGCAGGAACTAAAATGTCCTCGTTATCAATTCGCTATCCACACACACTAATTGGTACCCTTATATCATAAGCGTATTTTAGAAAGGGTTATGCAATTGGTCAAAAGAACACACACACAGAAACACACACACACAGAAACACACAGAAACACACAGAAACACACACACACACACACACAACAGAGGTTTCAATTACTCAATTAAAGTGTGACGAGCCAATTGAAACGTCAGCCTGTCCCTCACAGACACACACACACACACACACACACACACAAGTACCAACACACACCATATGCTTCCCCAGCGTGACGCATTCACCACTTGATTTAATTGCCTCCAACTCCATATTGAAGACGGTTAATGAGAAGCCAATTTAGAAAAAAGAGGGAAAACAGAGTGTCAGCTAAGTTGTTGCATGTTGGAAAACTTGGAAACAACTCAAATGACAGTTTAAAAAAATACTTGTATCACATTTTCACTGGTTTAAGGTTTAAATGAAGTAAGAATGCACATTGCAAACACACTTTAAATAACAAAACATGTTTTTTTTTACTGAAATATTTATATTTTTTTGCCCATGAAATGCTCATTTCCGTACGTTGTATTTGTTTTGCAAGTATGCCTGCAAGTATCATGTGTTTATACTATCACATGGGCATAAATAAGCATGCAAACCCACTTCCTTTAAGGGTATATTTACAAATCAAATACAAAATGCGAATGATATGCTTTCGCAGCAGAAACATTTCAGGTGGATGCAAAAAAAAAAGGCTGATCTTATTCAAAATGTTATGTAAACACTTCCAGATTGACACAATGTCAACAAGTCCTGTACTTTCAACACGCATTGAAAGAGGAAACACACCAACCTGTGAGAGAAGCCCGGTGCAGTCCTTCAATAAAGATGAAGAAGTCAAATAAAGATGAAAACAGTCCGGAGAGTCCAACGTTTCCTCAGAGGAGTCAGAGGGAAGTTATTCTGGAGTTTCCGAGAACCAGAGGCTGAGATCCGCACACACACTCTGTCAGCTCCTCAGTGAGAAGCTCTCTCTCTCTGCTCTCTGACCAGCCGTGAGTGAGTGAGTGTGTGTGTGTGTGTGTGTGTGTTCCCATCCCAAAACAAGGAAGCGGATTTCCAAAGGATCCGGATGGAGGCGGGAAGAGCGATCTTATTGGTCGAGGGGCGTGTCCAAACTGATTTTGAGAAATTGAATCATGACAGTAAATACACATAGCATTCTCATAAGGTAGAAAACAAAGGCTGTGGGCGCTTTGATAGTTATAATATGAAAGTATTGGGCATTAGATCTAAGGTTTAGCAACTAGTGGGAGTCAGATTCATGCAGTTCTTGGAATAAAGTAGCTTATATTCACACTATTTTTTTACATTGAGACCTCCAGAAACTGCTGCAAATGAGGATGATGAAAATGAACTGAAATGATAAACGCCTAATATATAATTCAGGGTTTTGCAGAATTGTGCAGGTTTGTTTCTGGAAACAATACTTATTTTGTCTTATTGTGTTTGTACAATTTGTAAAGTATGTTCATGTTTAATGAGTTGGCAACCAACATATCTGGACCCTGGAACTCCAGCAGCTAAATGCAATCAAGCCATCAGTCATTGTATTCCTTTCACCTGTGTTTTTCCCCACTGTGGTTCCCTAATGGCGCATTTCCATTGCAGCGCGTAGCTCGCTTTAAGCGTGCCGTGTCGTGCCGTCCCCTTTTTTGGTTGTGCTTCCACTAGGCCTCGTTCCGGCGCGGCACGGCGCGGGGCCACTTTTTCCCCTCTTTTCTGGCCCTAGAAAATTGTGGTTCTATCGGGGCCAACAAACAGGGCTGAGTATGCTAAACTAGAGAGAGGAGCGCTGGCAAGAGGGCTAGAACTACAACAAGATGGACATATTTGACCGTGATTTAATTGTAATACACGTTTCAAAATGATGCCGAAGTAACAACATACTGATACCGGTTAGTAAAAACCATGAATTAATGCTTTGTCAAGTCTGCAGACAGACGGCAGGGGAAAAACCTTTTAAAATGCGTGTTTTTCTAGATGGAGATTGGCTAAGCTAACGCAGTATATGCCCCGACCGTCCACACTCACAACAACGGCCTATACAGACATAAATACAGCAGCGACTGTATTCACCATGACACAGGCAGTCTGTGGTGTGTACTTGTTTAACTTTTGTCGAGTTTCTGAACATATATAAGGAGCTGTGAGCTCTGAGTGCTCACAGCTAACGGCTGTGTTGTGTTTCTGGATTTCTCATTGAAGATGACGTCACGGCTCCGCCTACACTGCGTTACTATAGTAACTACCCCAGTTCCTAAACTGTAATGGAAGCGCAGCATGAAGTGAGTCGGCCCTGTTAAGGCCCAACGCGGCCAAGCCGTACCTAGCCGTACCGAGTGTGGCCGAGGCCGACCGTGTAGTGGAAATGCGCCATAAAAGACTTCTGTGGAATAAAACATGGTCTCTCCAGCTCCGATATTTGGATGAATCCAGCCTCCAGAGTTTAGACGGAGCCGCTCCGCAGGGCAGATGTTTCTCACTCTGAAGGAAACACCACCAGGAATCAAATGGACCATTTCAGAGCACTCAGTCTTTGTCTGTGTCGCTCACCCCGAGAGAGGGGAGATAGGGAGAGAGAGAGGGACGGACGCGCGCGCGCACACACACACACACACACACACACACACACACACACACACACACACACACACACACACACACACACACACACACACACACACACACACACACACACACACACACACACACACACACACACACACACACACACACACACACACACACACAGGGGGTCTGTGAATGATTTGCATGACAACATGTTGATGTTCTTGTTGAGATGTCCTCGTGTGATTAGAGACTCTGATGAATATGCACTGTGATTTAATTTGTCAGGTTGTTTGGCATTTAGAACATAATATGAGTCATGTGTGTGTGTGTGTGTGTGTGTGTGTGTGTGTGTGTGTGCGTGTGTGTGTGTGTGTGTACCACTTTGTGACTCATAAACCATCTTCTTAGAACAAAGTCACATGAGGGAAAACTCCAAGACCACCATTAATATCAATGACTTGTGCTAAAAATGTCAGAAGTCATCACAGCCACTTCATTAAAATACTTCCTGTTTGGAGTCTTTTTGTGCTCTTATGTTGAGTTATGGTCACACAAGTGGTTTTGGCTGGATTTAAATCTGTCATAAAACAATGCAGGCTTGATATACTTGCAAAAATATACACGGAATACACATTAATTACCCCACATAAGGGGTGTTTATATGGTGAGATGAACAAATAATGTCACATAAACACACTAAATTCAGTCAAATGTCGAACTTTTTTTCATGTTATGCTTTTGTAGCTTTTACTTTCCTCCCCATTAGTGCAACATATCCATTTCCTTATGGCAAACAATTACATGTATCTAATTTCCAATACTCTTTAACACCAAACCACACTGTAAGAGTATTATTGGAGGCAAACGTAAGTATTTTAAATCTACTTTTTTACTATATATCCGATATCAGAGGTGATCACAGCCGGTGGTCACTGGATTAAATGTTTTAAACGTCACCACGAGGAGCTCAACCCCAGATCTGCTGAAACCCTCCTCTCCTGTGGGTCCATTTATCCTCTTGTATTCATACGGGACAAACAAAAGGCTGCTCGGAGTAGAAAGAGAAATCACCCAAAGTGTCGTTGGGGGGAACCTCCAATTCATCCCCAAAATAAAAAAAACCCTCCCCCACGGCCCCATCATACTAAAAAAAGAACAAGTCCATTCAGCATGTGTGTGTGGAGGCAGCACGTCATTACGCGCCAACAACAAGTGCCACGCGCCCCTCTCTTCCGTTAAGCAGATAAAAGGTGGCATCTGTCTGTATTGTGAGAGTAAATCCCCTCCGCCATTGACCGCAGACACTTCACATGTTGATGAGGAGGAGGAGGACGTAGAGACGAAGCCCCCCCCCCCCCCCCCCCCCCCTGCTTTGTTCCCTTGGTAAGACGTTATGCAAATCTAACAAACCGTTTGTGATTTCCATCCAAAAAGGACAAATAATTATATTGACTGCCAAGCTGGATTTTTTAGTTTTGGCGGAGTGGATGGAAACTGTGATGAAACCTTTTCTGGATTTCTCCGATATGTCAGAGTTTTTTTTGTATTCCCAAAGGTTTGGAAAAAGTCCCCAAACTTAAACAGGCTTATGCAAATGTTTAGCACCCATCCAAAGAGGAAGGACTTGGTTTATCTAAAGTAATCATGAGCGAGGGTCCGATGACTCTCTATTCAAATCACTGGCGCTGATTTGCATAAAAGTCGTTGGGAAAGTTTATTTGTCATGGAGAAGTAAAGGTGTGTTCAACAGAAACCAGAACAGGGATACATCCAGTAAACAAGAGCCTAATGAAACCAGTGCTTTGTTTGGCCTCCATTATTCATCTGTTCTGTCAAATGAACACAGGGAAAGAGTATTATACTGCGGTTTAATGAAACCCATGGAGCATACAAGTATAACAAAACCCCTCAACTCACCATCTTCTGATGAAACTAAATCCAGAACTGTACTCCATGGACTCAACAAACTGCATTTGCGTGCGTGAGGAAGAAGAACATTTGAGCCAAATACAAATTACAGTTCAATGCTGGCAGCGCTTTCTTCACCACAGTGTGGAAGATCTGTTTTCCGTGAATCGGACAGCTAGAAATCTCTACAATCTTGTCTCTAGGTCATAGACATCAGAGCTGCAAGTGGACAAAAGTGATGTGGCGTGTACTGTTTTATATCTGGGATCAGTTGTTCCCAATTAAGTAGTGATGGGAATTACGGCTCTTTGAAGGGAGCCGGATCTTATGGCTCCGTTCCTTTCCGAGAGCCGTTCAAAAGAGCCGTTTTTTCTTTAAGGGGGCGGGGCTAATAGGTTTATCTGCGAAATAATCACCAGGATAATGATTGACTGTATTGCCAGGAATCTACTTTTACTCACAGAAAATGTATAACTTGCTACATCTCTCAGCCAGCCAAACTACTACTCAAGCAGCACGCGTTATGCCGTCATCTACGGCAACTTTGCATTCAGGAAAGCAAGTTCCTTTAAAGGCGAGTAGATTTATGGCAGGCAGTGAACCAACGATAAAAAGAACGGCTCTCACCAAGTACGACTCGGTTCCCTTCGTTCGTACCAAAGAGCCGTTCAAAAGAATCGGATCGTTCGCGAACGTCACATCACTACAATTACGCAGCGTCCACACGGCGGCGTGCGTTGAAGCTTGCCGGCGGGCGTGTCTGAAACTCAACCAACAACCAATCACATGAATCTGCCGCCCCGGACACACAAGCACATGGTTTGATTGGCTAGAGCTTGTACTGGCATATGATTTGATTGGCTGACGCTTCCGTCGAAGCTTCAAAAGTTGAACTTTTCTCAACTTTTGAAGCGAGCAACGCGAGCAAAGCGAAGCCACGGAACCACAATGCAGTTCGGCAAAGCGTGACATCACCCCATTCAAAGTGAATGGGAAGAAGCGTTGAAGCTTCAACGCACGCAGCCGTGTGGACAGGCCGCTAAGGCATCAGGTGATCAACTTCTGTACCTATTTGTGTTCTCACTAAACACAAAGGGATTCAAGTCTCTATTGAACATTCAAGACATAATAAGGTGTTTTATAGCCTTTTAAATCAGTTAATTATTATGTTTCTACCCCAAATTCTTGCTGCAAACTTGCGTTAAGAGTAATTGGTACATTTTGCCCGCTTGGTTTAGTACAAAAATGTTACGTTTATCCAACAAAACTCGTCAGATTGTCTTCAAAGCGTCTAAAACACTTCAGTGTCCTGATTAGAAAGGAATGAATCCGACTATTACGTGTAGTTTTTACCGAAACCGACCATCCCATCTGCTTCCCAACATGTGCAGAGGTGTGAAAGTAGGCAAGGATATAACTTTTAACAAGCTCTCTTTTTTACATTCATTACTCAACTGCTCTGTCATTTCCAAGAGTACAGACTCAGGCTTTGTCTCGTCTGTGTGTGGCCTTTCAGAAACATTTTAGCCTCTGGACGTGGTCGAAGACACTTTCTATGACCTGGGACATAATCTAAAAGTTCTGTGTACTACTTTCCTGTCATTATATCAGTTTATTAGTGCAGATCAAAGTGGTTTTAGGTTTCCAAGTAGCTCATGTTCGGGGGGTTTATTGGTTAGAACATACACTCCTATTGCCAGACAAAAACATTGATTTTAGACGAATCTGCAAAACCCTGACTTACGTTCAATGCTGAATCTATTTTCCTACAATGCATGTAAGGCAAGTCATGTATAGTTAAAGGTAGGGGAGGATTGTGGTTATGGTTAGGTAACTACACACTTGATTAAAGTTTGTCAAAATGTGGAAATTAGGAGGTTTGTGGGACGAAATAAACTCTGATTTGTACATTTGTACTTCTCCACTTCACTGTAAAATAAGTACTTCAATGAATACATAGGAGGTACATTATTTTTGAGAGATACTGTGCCGATACATCATAATATTCCTATTCGATTATAATTTGTTGTACGAGACGACTGACATGGGAATGTTTTGATATTACATGTTAGACGCTTTTATCCAAAGCGACTTACATACTCAATACTGTGGACAATGCCCACAGGAGCAATTTGGGGTGAAGTGTCTCAGGGACACAACGACATGCTGACTGCAGTGGGGTTTGAACCTGTGACCCCCTGATCCGAACACCTACGCACTAACCCACTACGCCACATGCCTCCTGATATCAGAAAGATGACAACAATCTCTTTCAAAGCTAATTTTTTGGGGTGTCACGTATTTAAAAAAAAAAATGTTGGCTACATATCCATCCTTAAACAGAAACAGAAAAACTACATAAACACACACAAAGTCTCCCTCCTCCCCCCCCCCCCCCCCCCACTCGTTGCAATGTAAACCCCCCCATCCTGCTCCCAGTTTATGAGATAGAATTTCAATCGTCTCTCCTTTTCCAAACTCGTAAACGCTGTAATGAGTTTCATTTGCTTCGGCTACGTTGGGCTCAAACCGCCGAGGTGACCGCAGCAGTGTTCATAAAGATCACAGGACACACACACACACACACACACACACACACACACACACACACACACACACACACACACACACACACACACACACACACACACACACACACACACACACACACACACACCACACACACACACACACACACACACACACACACACACCACACACACACACACACACACACACACACACACACACACACACACACACACACACACACACACACACACACACACACACACACTTTCCAGGGGCCATTCATTTAGGGAACATCACTTCTGAAGGAAACGGCCCGACATTTGTGGTTCCCCTTTCAAACGCTCTCCATTAAAGCGACACACACATAAATCACCGCTCACATGACAACAACATGCTCTCCTGGCTTTTATTTCAACAAACGCTCCTTGTATGTACACTTTAACACATGCCAACAAGTTTAAAAAAGAAAAAAAGAAAAAACAAATGCATGAATATAACAATTAAACACATTTTCTTTACGATTTCCAACAATTTCACAAGTTAACTTTATGCTAAAATGTTTCCATATTTGAAGATTTTTGGTCAAATGACAGTCAGTCTTGTGTAACGTAACATACATACAGGATATTGACAATTAAACAATGTAGTAGAAGAAAGTGACTCAGGTTTAAACGTGTTATTTTCACTAAGACGCCATTTTGAAATGTAATAAGGGAGAATTTTCCTGTTCTTTTGCCATTTTTGGGAAAATCGTCAAGAATAAAAAGGAATATTGAACGATTATAATGTCTGAAGAATGTTTTTAGCTACCACAATTTCACTAATGGAAGTTTGGAGCTAGGCAAAACCATAATATGCAGTTGAAAGTTCCTAAACAAGATCCACAGTGGACCTTGAGTTGGATTTCTTTGTGTAAAACCACTTTTTCTATGGTCCAAAAGGAACGCAATTTGGCCCTAGTTATTCAACCTTTCAGAGTGCAATGTCAATTTCAAAAACATTTCGGTGTCACTTGTTTGTCCACAGTAACATGCAGCTGTGAAATGTGACTCACATCGACAGCTGGGGGGATTTTATGTTTCCCAAACTGTGTATTTAGGGAGAGTATAGCGACATTAAAAAGGGAACATCTTGTTTGTTTCTTAACAGAGGAACTATTTATACGACAGACTGGCTTTTGATCATCTGGCACTGAGGACATGTGACGCTACGGCTGAGAAGAACATATTAAATATTTCAAGAGTTGTAAAAGATTAAATCTTCTGCAGCGGCCATATTTGAATTGATTTCACCTTCTTCTAACTCGTTAATGTTTCATCTAAAAACCTTCTTGAAGTTGATGAAATCTTTGGAAGATGTTCAGGGAAAGTGTGTTTTTCACAGAGAGACAAACGCTGTCCAGATGTTTCATTTACAGGTTTTGCCCAAGGGTCTAAACAAATGTGGCTAACTTCACCAACGTGTCTTTTTTCTTTTCCAGACGTTGTTTACTCTCCAAGTTTCTCAATTCATTTCAAAAAGTACTTTTTTCTGGACTTTCCGGACTCGCTCAGGTTTTTTTTTTTTTTTTTAACGAGACGTTTGGGGGAAACCGCACTGTTGGGCTTTTGTGTCTGTTTTAGAGCTTATGTGTCCTCGGGGGGTGGGGGGGGGGGGTGAAATCACAGCAGCAGCACCAGGGTGAACGTGAAACATGACACCTGAAGAAATCTGGTTTTCCATTCAGTGTAAAATATCCCACTGACGGGATGTACACAAACGCATCCCCCGATACCAACAAAACGATTGAGTGAACTCTCATTCACACACACACACACCTTTTTCCAACAAACAAAAGAATTACAAACACTGTACAGCAACCACATCACCCCCCCCCCCCCTCTTATTAAACTGTTTCCCCCTGGAAACACTCAGCTAATGTTTCCCAAACCCCTCTCTTGCTCTATTTATCCTGCCTTCATGCCTCGGGGCCGAAGGGGTCCGTCTCCATATTGTCTTCATTAAGGCCGCCGAGCATCGCCCTGGTTAGGAAACATGGAGTGTGTGGGTGGGTGTGTGTGTGTGTGTGTGTGTGTGTGTGTGTGTGTGTGTGTGTGTGTGTGTGTGTGTGTGTGTGTGTGTGGGTGTGGAGGAGGCTGCCGGCTCCTAAACCACATTCTTCAAATTCCCTGTAAACAAGAGAAAAGAGAGAAAAATGAGGAAGGGGGGGGGGGGGGGGGTGAACACATTCATAATAACACCAAATCATCACATAAGTGGGGTGCAAACGGAGGCTAAACACACACATTAGACAACAGGAGAGCAAAGATGGAAGCAGAAACACACACACACTTCCCAATGAAAATGCTAAATAACATCTGGCCGAGGTAAGCCTGGTCGCTGACGAGGAAATAAAAGCATGCAAAGCGGGGATCGATATGGAAATTACAACGTTAAGCAACACTGCCAGTTTATTTGCATGAAGACACAGATTGGTTTCCACGTCTCACACACACACACACACACACACATTGTTTTGACACAATGGCTGCATTATAAAGTCTAGTCGCCAGTTTACTTTATACGTTACACTGCAAACAATGATGCTTTGTTTGTCCTTTGTTATGTTAAATTGCCTGATTGGGGGAAAGTACACACACACACACACACACACACACACACACACACACACACACACACACACACACACACACACACACACACACACACACACACACACACACACACACACACACACACACACACACACACACACACACACACACGCACACACACACACACACACACACACACACACACACACACACACACACACACACACACACACACACACACACACACACACACACACACACACACACACACACACCACACACACACACACACACACACACACACACACACACACACACACACACACACACGGGATGAGTCATTGTGAGGGAGGATGTCCTGTTTGTTGGCCATTGTGGAGCTGTCAGTGGAGTCATGTTTTGCTGCAGGGACAACAACAACAACAACAACAGCAGCTCTATCAAGGAGAAACTCAACTGTTGTTTTGTAATGCTTCCATGTGTTTTTCCTCCGGATGCTGAACCCTCTGTATCTCAGAGATGGTGACGCCACTAGTGACTTCATTTAAAGCTACATTACACTGCTGGTTCCTAGTTAAGTTTTTCATTGCCATATCTACACGGCAGCTACTGTGCACATGACAATCAAGCCTTGAATCTTGAATAGAGTGGAGCAGTAAAAGAGTAATTTTGTAGACTTGAAGATAGCATCACAAGGGCTACCTCGACAAAAAGCCAATGGGATTTTTCCATTGGATTTCGGAATATACCAGAAAATAAGTCCTGTGTGCTACTTCCACGTTTTGTCCAGCAGGAACATCTACACAAACACTTTATGGCATTTGAAGCATAAATGCAATTGCCAGAAGTAAAAAGCTAACGTTAGCCTATAAAGGAACTACCGCACGGTCACATGACTTCACGTCACCAATGCTAAGCTAAAGGTGGCTAATGTTGGGCTATAAAGGAACTACAGCACGGTCACATGACTTCACGTCACCACCGCTAAGCTAAAGGTGGCTAATGCTGGGCTATAAAGGAACTACAGCACGGTCACATGACTTCACGTCACCACCGCTAAGCTAAAGGCGGCTAATGTTGGGCTATAAAGGAACTACAGCACGGTCACATGACTTCACGTCACCACCGCTAAGCTAAAGCTGGCTAATGCTGGGCTATAAAGGAACTACAGCACGGTCACATGACTTCACGTCACCACCGCTAAGCTAAAGGTGGCTAATGTTGAGCTATAAAGGAACTACAGCACGGTCACATGACTTCACGTCACCACCGCTAAGCTAAAGGTGGCTAATGTTGGGCTATAAAGGAACTACAGCACGGTACATGACTTCACGTCACCACCGCTAAGCTAAAGGTGGCTAATGCTGGGCTATAAAGGAACTACAGCACGGTCACATGACTTCACGTCACCACCGCTAAGCTAAAGGTGGCTAATGCTGGGCTATAAAGGAACTACAGCACGGTCACATGACTTCACGTCACCACCGCTAAGCTAAAGGTGGCTAATGCTGGGCTATAAAGGAACTACAGCACGGTCACATGACTTCACGTCACCACCGCTAAGCTAAAGGTGGCTAATGTTGGGCTATAAAGGAACTACAGCACGGTCACATGACTTCACGTCACCACCGCTAAGCTAAAGGTGGCTAATGCTGGGCTATAAAGGAACTACAGCACGGTCACATGACTTCACGTCACCACCGCTAAGCTAAAGGTGGCTAATGCTGGGCTATAAAGGAACTACAGCACGGTCACATGACTTCACGTCACCACCGCTAAGCTAAAGGTGGCTAATGCTGGGCTATAAAGGAACTACAGCACGGTCACATGACTTCACGTCACCACCGCTAAGCTAAAGGTGGCTAATGTTGGGCTATAAAGGAACTACAGCACGGTCACATGACTTCACCACCGCTAAGCTAAAGGTGGCTAATGTTGGGCTATAAAGGAACTACAGCACGGTCACATGACTTCACGTCGCCACCGCTAAGCTAAAGGCGGCTAATGTTCGGCATGATTACATTAAGTCTTCACGTTAAGCAGCTTTTTAGCAACTACCGTTTTTAAAATGTACCAGTTGGGTATTAACTGACGTATTTATGCCATAGAAAGTCTTTATCTTAGGTTTTTAAGGCACTTGAGCAACAACAAAATCCCAAAAACTTTGACTCAAAGAGGAGGGAACCAAGTTTTAAAAGCTGACTCATTCCCGGGTTTTCGGACTCATTCCTGCACCACTCACTCAAGACAAGCAAGAGGTTAAGATTTCTACACCCAGAAAGTCTTTAAACGACACAAAACGAGCTCAAGTTTGCCTACAGACTGACGAAAGCCTCCGGATTTATTTTAACAAAGCCACATGACGTAGTGACACCCCCGACAAACCACAGGCTCATCTGGATAAAAACTTAAACCTCTCGTTGTACCGCGAGGATGAAAATGACTGCCGTGATTCACAGGGGTGAGACTGTTCCTCACGGTGTTGTGGAGCTTTGTGGGGTGTGTTGGCGTTTGATAAACATTTATTTTATGGATTACGCATCACTTAAGTCTCAAACCTTTTTTAGCTGTGGCCGGCAGCTCAGTCTATTTCAACTCTTCAGCTGCTAAAAACAGCATGAAACCAACTTGTTATTTTACTTTTATGTTGATGTCCTCGCCCAAGTTTCGCCACAAAATGTGTTCTCGTTTTCACGTCCTCCTAATCTTGAAGCACTACTTAACTCAAACTGAACTTCCCAGACTGATTTTCATGCCAAATCTTCACAAATACAGACTTTACGTTTTAAATTCAGCTCAAATGTGTGTCTAATCCTGGCCTAATACTGTACTTTCCACGACAACGCAAAGCAGCGAATCCTGAATTGTCTTTATTTTTGTTGAGACTGCCTCAGCACAGTCATTTCTTCTTTTTAGGTTGAGAATTTCCCGTTTCTACATAACAAACTTACTCATATTCAGACAGGGATTACTGTAAATCACAATAACAAAGACAGTTTAAGCTCCAAGTGAGTCACACTGGGTTATATCTTTATAAATAAACAGGACAGAGAAGTTTCTGACTAAGTCTTTAGCGGCGACGGTTTCTCCACAGCGTTAAGGGGAACCAACTAAACAATCATGACTATTTTCGTATATATTTAACAAAAATATGAACGCATTGCAGGTTAACTCCCCCCCCCACCCACCCATCAGATCTCCCTCTCTACATCCATCTGCGTCTTCTCCTTTTTCCATTAACAGATGTAGACGGTAAATTCTGGTAAAGTGACGAGCGTCCACGGAGGCCTCGGATATTTACTACCTGCAAACGTTCATCCATCACAGCATGTGTGGGTGGGTATTACACTGCAGGTGTGTGTGTGTGTGTGTGTGTGTGTGTGTGTGTGTGTGTGTGTGTGTCCTTATGTCTCTTGTTCGAGTTTGATTGTGTATATATTTCTTCTTTGACCAAGTTTCATTACTTGAATCAGTTGTATATCTTTCTGTGAATGTGAATAACTTCATTGTGTGTGTGTGTGTGTGTGTGTGTGTGTGTGTGTGTGTGTGTGTGTGTGTGACAAGCAGCTTCAGCACAGGGTAGAATTAACGAGCACGAGTAGCAGGATGTAAAGATGCTGCAATATTTCCCTGTTGACACACACACAGTCCCACAGAAAGGCTGGTGGTTTATACACACACTAACTTCTCACTGATGAAGCCACACACACACCCACACCACACACACACACACACACACACACCAGCCTCCTGGGAAATCACGCTACCAGAGCCTCGTAAACACAGAGCAGTGAATGCAGGCAGACAGCTGCTGCCTCTGACAATCAGCCATAAAAAAATAAATAAAGAAAATAGATTTTTAATTGACACGCCCGCTTAACAAGCCTCAGTGTGAACGAACGGGAAACAATTGGAAACACTGAGTAATCCTTGAAATAGGAATCACTAGAAAAGCCCATTACGACTTATATTTAAATGCCTTGCACAATGTTTATTATAATTTATATTGGGAAAATAACAGAAGGGAAAACGTTTTCTAAAGTGTGAGAGAAAGATGTTTTTATTATTACTGAAACATTTGTTAGTGCAGGTTATTGTTACATTTGATATCATTCTAAAATGGAGCAACTTTCACAAAACCCAACATGTTGTGATGTTGATTTAATGACTTTGTAGTAAAAAGGCTGTTTGGTGACGTTCCAACAGTGGCGAGCCGTCAGGGCTCTGAGGGTCTAAGATATTCTACAAAATAATATTAAAAAAATATATATATATATATTTTAAAATATTCTTTTAGTTATATTTTTCATTAGTTTTACCAAAATAACTTGATTTAATTGTATTTAAAATAACATTTCCAAATAAATAAATCGTTCGAATCTGCCTATTCAGTTTCTGTTTGAATGTGAAGGGTTAAATGAAAGAAGCCGTCTCTGCGAGGTGAAGACAGGAGCTGATTGGTCCTGCTGTGAATTCACAGAGGGCCCGCTATAGTAACTGAACGAGAGAGTAATGTCAAATGACAGTACAATTGACCAATCATATCTTCCCTCTAAATGGGTGGGTTTTATTATCGCGGACTTTATGACAAGTTCCGCCCGCTGTGAATCTGTTCTTGTTTCCATAGCAACAACAACTTCCTGTCAACAGCGTAAACTCGCCTTCAAAATAAAAGCATGCCAAATTACACTTAAGACATACAACTGCAACGAAAGTAACAAACACAATGCAATATCATTTTCAATGTCAAAGAACGCAAATTGGGTTCACAGGTGTTGTTTTGTGTGGTAGAGGGTCGCTTTCAGTGATGCGTTTTGCACCCCGGGCCGTTGTTTTGATATTCCGCTGAAGTATACGCTGTGACGTAATAACTCTTTTCTTCTCGAGGGAAGGGGTGGGGGTTAGAGGGCCTAGGTATAAAAGTCACGGCTCGGCGCCACTGCGTTCCAACAGTCAAATATGTCGACAAATGTTGGAAATATAGCTATAAAACTCTTCAAACTGTTGTTTTTACTTGATTTACTGCCGAGTAGTTTGTGATTTTAATGAATATGTGCTGACATTATTATTATTATTTAACTCAACACACAGCTGAGTCTCGGGACATTAAGGGCTGTAAAGCTTATGGCTTTTATTCACAAGTTCTCTTTTTTATTGGGATTATTTCGCATTTAACTGTCATTTTTCAACTGTTGTTTTCTCGTGAATACTTTCACACAAAACACGGTCCCATTTAAAAAAAAACAACAAAAAAAAGTCGTCAAGCAATCAAATCGAACATTTTTATCAAGTGTGTTGCTGCTTATTTGGTGAAGAAAAAGGAATAAAATGGCTTAAAAACATGTTAATAGTTATAGTTGAGTTACTTCACAGGGATTTTTAATGAATAGCTAACCCTATTAAAAAAATCTGAGTTTTTGCACCATAAATAAAGTCGTCAACCAATCAAGATGATTTCTTGTGCAACTAAATAAATGGCACGCCTGCCTTTTATTGTTTCCTGTTGGTACAAAATAGCTGCATGACACATGTGTACAGTGTTAGTTAAACATAAAGGGGTTGTGTCACAACACATGCTTAATTACAATGAGAAAGAAAGGGATTCTGGAGAGTCACACACACACACACACACACACAACACAAACACACACACACACACACACACACACACACACACAACACACACACACACACACAATCACACACACACACTACACACACATCACAACACACACACACACACACACAACACACACACACACACACACACACACACACACACACACAACACACACACACACACACACACACACACACACACACACACACACACACACACAACACACACACACAAACACACACCACACAGAACCACACACAACACACACACACACACACACACACACACACACACACACACACACACACACACACACACACACACACACCACACACACACACACACACCCACACACCACACACACACACACACACACACACACACACACACACACACACACACACACACACACACACACACACAGCACAGTTTCTCATGGAAACCAGTGTTTATAGGCAGCAAAGCAGAGAAACACTTATCCAACGCGATGATGTCATTTGGATAAGTTAGCTTCGAGGTGTGTGTGTGTGTGTTATGGCCTATTCTTATTCGTGTGTGTGCATGTTAACTCAGCAGACATGTGGGTCCGTCTTTAATCAGAGACAGAGACAAAATGCCTCGATATTTTACATTTTAATGCGCTCTCTTCTCGGTGGTTTTGGTGTCTGCTTGTTGTGTGGTGAAGCTTTGAAACTGTCAAAAAGAAAAAGGGTTTTAGAGTAGAGGTTGGTAGAAGAGACATGAAAGAAAAGACAGAGAGAACGAGAGAGGACACTGAACAGATGTGACGGGTTGAACGCAGGACTCAAACTTCAATGGAAGACAGAGAAGAAAGGAGGGGGAAAAGCTGTAAAATCAATACATATTCACAATAACTATAAATCCAGTACATGTACACCCTTATAGGCGGAATCAGGTCTGCAGCCAAACACACATTTCTCTCCATCTTTGGCTTGTCTGCGTTTAATTTCTAACTCTTTTTTTTATTCTCTCCATCCATCAGTTCGTCCACCGGTTCCTCTAATAAAAGCCGTATGAGTGGAAAGCAGCGATACTCCCTACCCTCTCTGGTTCTGATGATTTCATGCGAGCCAACAGACCAAAGTGATTTGGGGTGAATTAACTCCTGTTGCCCTGATTGGATGTGATCTGCAGTTTCTCAGAGCAGAGGACGTAATGCTGTTCAGATTAAATGCTACTACATCCAACAGGGTTTTGTCAACAATACCAATTTTAAGTTATAAGGTTGTAGTTCATTAACCCTACACTGGAAAACAACATCAGCTCCTGGAGCATCTTGTAGTTTAGACGGTGAGAAAATGATCAATTTAATGGAAAAACTGACACCAAGTGAGTCTAAAGGCATCACAGTTTGAAGAAGAAATCAAACGAGCTCCAGGGAATACCGATTACAACTGACTTAGTGAGGGACTAAATGGATTAATTAATGTCTTTTAAAGACATTCCTGTTTGGGCAGGCGTTTGGGTAACTTGTGTGCGTATTCTTTTACCAGCGTTTGTACTGTCTTAGGAAACTGTCCTATTTTAATGTTGCAAAACCATGATGATCATGTTTTATCGAGTCAAGTCTGTCTTTTTCCTTAATGTCATGGTTTGGTAACCTGACTTTAAAGAGCAGAAACTCTCTGAGTCAGATCGTAAAGGGGTCCAGCAGACTGATTGGTGAGCCACAGCTAAACCTGGAGACCCTGTACCTCAGGCAGTTACAGCGGTTATCCAGCTCCATATTAAGTCCCTTACACACCAAGCCAATTTTCGGCGTCGATAGATGTCGGGCCGTCGATGAGCGTCGTGTCGCCCTACTCAGATTGGTGTGTCTTGGTGTGTCCCGCACCGTCGTGTCTTTTCGGCCGTGCCGACACCTACCGCCGCCGATTCAACATGTTGAGAGGCTATCGGCTAAAGAAATCACTCTGATTGGCTATTCAGCTTAGCGAATCAGTGCATGAGAAGCGAAACGGAAGTGAGGGACCCAAACAAACTATTAAGAAGGCAAATGTGAGATTTCATTTAACTCCAGCTCTCGACACAGGTTTGGGAAAGCCCCATGAGCTTCTCGCTGTAGAGTGAAAATGGAACGCACACGCTATTTGTTGTTTGTTTATATCACGCAGTCTGTTCTTCTTCTCTCGGTGTATCACGCAGTCTGTCTTCCGGTTGTTGCCTCTTTTGAATGACGAATACACACTACCGCCGCCTGCTGGTAAGGAGAGTTATTGCCACTCACGCATGCGCAGTTCGTACGTGCTTCTTGGCCGTCGGCTGAAGTCTTTGCGGTGTGTTCCAGTGCGACTGTTGGCCAAGACGCAGGAGACGTGAGGCGACGTGAGGCGACTTTCCGTCGGGACGTGTTCTTTGGTGTCAGTTTGTGTGTAAGGACCTTTAGACGATGACTCCCACCCTCTGCACTCATCATTTAAGCTTTTTCCTTCGGGCCGGAGGTTACTTGTCCCAAAGAGTAGAACGAAGCGGTATAAAAACAGTTTTATCCCAGCAGCTATTGCACAAATTAACACATCATAGGAGTGTCACACAGATGCCTATTTTTATTTATTTATTTAATTATGAATTTTGAATGTCCATGTTTGTACTAGTGTTTTAAATATTTTTGAGATTTGACGGAGCAGGGTGTACTTGTACTTTTTATTAGTCCTTTTATTAGAGATGCGTCTGTTGTTTGTGTTTGTTTTTAGTGTCAGGATGGATCCCTCTGCAAACAAAATCTACCTACGGGTACAAATAAAGAACCTGAACCTGAAGTGTTTTGCTGCTTATTTGATGAAGAGAGCATTAAAAATAGCTTTAAAAAAGCATCGTCTTTGAGGTTATTTTAATATAGTACAAAATAAATTATAGTGCTACATTTTTTAACATAAGTTTCCCTCACGAATCACGGTGATGTGACCAGATTTAGGACATTTGTATTCAGACTTTCTATCAGAAACAGGGAATTAATGGATAAATGCTGCGTCAAATATTACATTTCACTGACAAAGGGAAAGGAAGGAGGCGCTCTGTGGTTAACACTTCCACACAACAACATTCAACGAGTGATCAAATTCAGGTCTGGGAAACACGGCTGCAAACAGCGTAACGTTCGGAAAATGACCCCGACTCTTAGACGCTTTTTCCCTGACCTCGCCCTCATTACAATAATCCTCCCCGACTCTCAACTTTCCCCCTCAGTTTCACCCCGCCTCAGAGTCTCCTGGGTGCAGCAGACACACTGATTTAAACAAATATAAAGAGAGAAAAGATGCAGAAATGAAGAAATACCACATGTATGAAGACCCAGACTCTCACTGAGTTTGCGGGCAATACAGTGGGGTCATCATCGGCATATACACACACACACACACACACACACACACACACACACACAAAGATGTTAAGAGCCACAGGGAAGGGGGAAAAGAGAAGCAGAAGAACAAGTCATACTTTCATCCCACACAGAGACGTATAGAAACAAGAACAGACACATGAAACCACACATACAAAGAGCCACGCAGAGACAAAAGGCTTTAGTTGAACCAGGGTTCACACACACACCTGTTTACCTTCTACGACACACACCTGTGCATCCCCCCACACACACACACACACACACACCTTTGATGGTGCTGATGACCGTGTCCAGGTGTTTGCTGTCGTTTCGGTCTGGTCGACAGCTTGGGCTGATCTCCAGCGAGTAGTCGGGTCCGTACTCTGTAAAAAACTAGACATCACAGCGCTGCAATCAATATGACAACTTGTGGAATTATTTCTTATTCACAGCCACACTTTAATCCCACACATCTGCACACAGTCACTGCAGCACAGCGCCAGAGAACACTCTCTACTCTGTCTCTTTTTTAAAGATCGCAGCTGCTTTACTGGAACATTTGGACTTTGAAGAGTTGGATTGTGAAACTGACTGGTAATGAATATTAACACAGGCTTTCTGAGATCCCTACTTAAAAGAAATTCAATTGATTGAAAACAGTGGAAAAGACTCCTGACACTGACCACCAATTACCCTTTGTGGTTAAACATAAACCATATTTAAATTAGGCTTGTACTGATTGGCAATTGGATGGCATGTCCATGATTAAAGGGATGATTGAACCAACGATTGTTTTGAAGGCGATTTTGTTCTACCAGAACTAAGATGATATAAATATTATCTGTAGAATCTGCACACTGCGGTTACATTTTTTCTTGAGGAGCGACATGATCACCCTCTCAGCACGAGTGCATTGCAAATCCATAATTACAGACGAGTTTGCCGTCCCTTGACATGGATCTAAGGCCTAGGCTCCACGGGGACGAAAACGGGTTGAATCCGCATATTTCTCATGCGTATAGCCCTTTAAGCTCGACGACGCCGTAACAGAAACGTAGAAACAGACCCCGCAAACGACAACGGGTCCAAAGGTGGATAGATCTGGGAACGGAGCGCTCTGGGGGGTCCAACGGGGCCGTGGGGTCGCCTATACGGTCATCCGTTTCATAGCCCCGCCTCTCCCCGCCTCTCCCCGCCTCTCCCCACCTCTGCTGCTCACCCCCGCAAAAGTACACTGCACACTGAATTCAGATTATTTATCTTTATCTCGATATGAACATAAACGCGAGTGAAGTCTAATCTGACAGGACGGAGACACGCAGCTCCTCCGGCTGTGAAGCAGCGAGAGCAAAACACACACTTCAAGTCAGATCACCACCCTTAGCTATTTTAATTACCTCTCAAACTACCTAAACTAGTTATAAATATGTTTATTTTTACTGTCGGGTTTACTTACTGGATCAGCTGCTGCATGAGGAAGCATGAAGATTTAAACTTTAACACACATTGACCGGCGAAAAACTCTGCGCGGTTCCCTCCGCCCCCACCGCGGAGAATAAACAGAAGTGCAGCCATGACAACCATTCTTCTTCGCTGCTTTTGTGGAGGAAGTTGCTGCTTTTGTGGAGGAAGTTACAGCGCCACGTACATGTACTGCAGCTTTTCCAGCGGTTGGATGTAAACGGAGCCGTCTCGTGGAGCTTGACACAATCCGGTGTATATTGCGTGTGGGCGGAAGGTTTTTTGCGGTTGCATTTGCGTTACTCCGATGCGTTTTGCCGTATGGGTTCCCGTGGAGCTGGGGCCTAAGACCCCACATTTTCGTTTTCCACATGCATGCCAACCCAAATGTTGCTTTGCGCTCCATAAGAATAGTTAGGGTTATTTATATAGTTTGGATTGTGATATTAAAGATGAGATTATAACGTTAACGACACATGATGCTGTAATATAATCGCACCAATCACAGAACAAGCCATTGCTACTAAATTGTGTCTCAGTGGGTCAAAGTGTCCTTCAGCAAGATACTTGACCCCAAATAGCTCTTGTAGGCACGTAGTCTACGGTATTGAAGTGTTTGTAAGTCGCATTGGATAAAAGGTATATGTGAAAGACTTTTTTTTTATGTCTAAATATGTAAAAGATAATATCTTAAAGATGTTTATCCATGTAACTAACTGTGTAGCTTGCAGACAGCTTAAAGGTTTCATTACTCCAAAGCTCTGTCAATATTATCCTCAAATACAAGATTTTCTTTGACACAGAGAGATGCTTAAACCACAAATGTGAACCTCAGAGTGGTGTTAAAGGAGAAGTGAAAGAATCACCAAAGTCATTGGGATTCATCCATCACATTTCATGGCAATCTGTCCGATATTTATTGAGGTATTTCAGTCTGGATCAAAGTGGAGGACAGACTGAAATCAATCTCCCTAGAGATAGGACACAGAGAGGCTAACAGACAAACATCAGTGCGTTCAGATGGACATATGTTCCTTATATTTCCTGAACCCACTGCTGTCTAGGAGTTGCATTAACACAAACAAACGTATGAGACAGTCTGGTTCATGTACAGAGAGAAAATGTAACCAGATGAACCACAAATCAGTCAAACTCCAACTGGACAGCCTGGGCCTCACCAACAAGAAGGAGAAAAGAGAAACAGCCTGAGATGATTTCAGCACATACCGAAGGCTCCTGGCATTTCATGCAGAGTCGGACCGATTCCATGAAAACCAGCCAGTTTGAAAGAAAAAGAAGAAAAAAAAACAGGTGGAAATCCAGAGCGTGGGTTCAACGAGAAGTTAAAACCAGAGCGTGTCAACTGAAAAAGCAAATTTCCAGGGAATTTGTTCGGGCCGTGACTCTGTGCCATGAGAGCAAAACAAACTCGCAGGCCAGGTTCTGACCACAAGTGCGTCAAGTGTGTTCGCAGACACTGTTGTGAAAGCCTTGGACTCTGAAGAATCAGCAGAAGATATTCAACCAGCCTACAGCAATATTCCTCCAAACATAGTACAATAGCGCTTTCACACCAAGTACTTTGCCGTACTTAGTTCCCAGCACTTAGTTCCCAGCACTTAGTTCCCCCATGGAACTAAAGAGCAGATCGCGTTCACACCGGAATAAATTCCCTGAGGGAAGATTACGCAAATGAAGCCGCTGACGTCACTTCTTCTTCTTCTGCTTTGGGTTTACTGGCAGGCCGCAAACCACTTCACGGCGTATACTGCCACCCGGAGTCCCCGGCCGGAAGTCCCCGGAGTTGGGGACTGGCTTCAGTAGAAGCTGCTGGGACTCCCAGCAGCTTCTACTGAAGCCTTCTGAGTAAATCGCCAGAACGCCGACACCTCCTCATCTCCACCGCTCCCATGCTTTATTTTGTGTTGCCATAAGTTATTCTCTCTCCGTTGGTGCGCTGGGCTAATGCTAATGCTAATAATGCTAATGCCAGCAAATACAATAGCGGCTTCAAAAAACTTTTCAGAGTTTTACGGGGCGTGGTTTTGCAATTCGCCCAGCCAATCAGAAATTGGAACTTTTTTCTCCCCAGGAAAGTACCACCTCTCTAGCAGGGACTGAAAAGGGGGGGAAAGTTCTCATGAACTAAGTTCTCTTTTTGGTGTGAACGCAAAATCCCAGGAACTATCGGAACTAAACGGGAAAAGTACGGGGAAAAGTACTCCGGTGTGAAAGCACCTAATGAGTATTTGTCAGTTTCAAATCTGCTCTGCTAATAATTACGCCGAAAATTGAGCATGACAGTTCATTCTTGACCTACCACATGCAATTAAATCTGCCTCGACTGCTCCAAAAAAAGCTAGAAAATGTAGCTTGAGTTGGACATCGTGTCAAACTATGTGCAAAGATCTGAATCAGTATTACCTTTGTGGTTTTCTTTTGTGTTTTGAAAGTCTTAAAGGAACGGTACGCTATTTTTGCTGCAAGCGTTCGATAAATGGAGGGGTTCTCCAAATTTCAAATGTTTGTGCTAAGCTACTAGCTAAAGGAGATACATTTACTGTCAATAGAATAATAAATGTCTTAACTAAAGGTTTTAATATTTACACAAGTGGTCTCTGACTAGAAGTCGTAGGCTGCAAATATCAAATATGAGACGGCTCCTTTAAGGTGGAGAAATTATTCTGCAAACATCCCATAATGATTTTTGGCTAATTCCACAGACATTATAAATACGAGGGATTAGGGATAGTGGATTTGATGGATGTCATTAGAGAAAAACACACACACCACACACACACACACACAACACACACACACACACACACCAACACACACACACACACACACACACACACACACACACACACACACACACACACACACACACACCACACACACACACACCACACACACACACACACACACACACACACCACACACACACACACACACACACCACACACACACACACACACACACACACACACACACACACACACACGTACGTATGAGCCAACAGGCAGTAGGAGTATTATACTTTGGTGTACTTGGAAGACAAAGACTACTCTGTCTTTGTTTAATATCCGTGTGTGTGTGTGTGTGTGTGAGCGAGAGAGAGAATGCATGCAGTCTGGAGTAGATGAAGGTGTGTGTATTTGTCTGAAAGTCCACAGACATTTGCATGTACAGGCATACCAGCAAATATCCATGGTGTCTCTAAGTGTGTGTGTGTGTGTGTCTCTGTTTCCAATTAGCTCCGATGAGTTTCTGTGTCTTACCTCCGGCCTCAACAGAGCACAACATGAGAGAAGTTACTTAACACACATATACACACCCACAATGTATTCCCATGAACCCAGTGCTCCGTCTCCCGCTGTCCAGCAACACACACACACACACACACACACACGATTATACACACACACACACAGCCTGATCTCTCTTGCTTGTTTGGCTTGGATGACCAGGGGGAGAAATCGAGAGGAAGCGGGGAAGACAGAGGTGCAGACACTCCTAAAAGAAACATTTTCCGATATTTTCGTATAATATTCCTTACACTTTTTAAAGATACAGGGACCAATATTATGAGAGAAAAGGAAGAAGACCGACAAAAATAAATTATACAAGAGACTTAAGTGCAGGATCCAGTGACGCAGTATTTCTACATCACTGGGACAAGGTCACGAGACAGAAAATACCAGCTGACTGGCTCCAGTGTCCCAAGCAGAGACTCAGAGAGATAAATAGTGGAAGGTCTCCGTTTATTTACTTATCTGCCTCAACATGGACCCTCGGGCCATTGCTCACAACTCATATAAGCGTGTTTGTATAAGATACACTGGCCTTGATGCAGATAACGCAAATCTAAACGTCTTTTATTGATAATTCAGAAAGAAAAACAGGAATAATCGCTTTAAAAAAAAAAGAAT